ACAGACTGTTCTCCTGTGAGTTTGCCTGTGAGCTTGGAAAGTTTTTTCTGGTGTTTCTTGACTCTACATGCATTGTATCAAGTATAAAGGGTAAGAGCTTCTACTGAGCTTCAGTTATTTAGGCTTAGTTATTCACCTAATTCATGTAACTACTCTTGGGCATGTTAGTGTGCCAATATAGTAGATATATCTTTTCATTATTTTTTTTTTTTCCAAATTGATTTTTTTTTTTCCCCTCATTGAAAACACTAACTGAATTCAGAGAACTAACCTTTAAAACAGTACAAACCTTTGGTAAACTTTATAATTGCAGCTTTTAACTTGAGTAAAAACACCTCACAGATAGGCCTCAAATTTTTAATTGCTATTGCTTTTAAGATATGTAGTCTGATGGTTTAATGTAATAAACAGCTGGTTATTACTCTTTCATTTTTGGTAGCCCCTGACCAGTTTTCCATGTGCTACTGTCCCTGTTTTTAAAAGATCTTTCTCCAGTGGCCTTTGATATTTCTTTACAGAACTTTTTATTTTTTCTTTCTTCACCTTTTAAAGCCAACAGATACCCAGGCTATGTAGGGAACTGGGAACTGTTTCAGTAAGAAATGTGTTTTCATATTCCTTAGTGATGTATGCAGCATGGACCTCTACTACTTTCTCTCTGTCTGATAATTAGTTCAATGACTTCACTAGATTTTTCCTTTGTAGAATTTCTTTACAAAATTTCTAGTCTTATTCATTAGATGTTAGACTCTACCTTTCTGTTTGTATGTCATCTATCTGCTAAAGAAATGTAACTTTCACTTCACAGGAAACTGCAGTTTTAGCTAGAATGAGAGAAAAAGATTTCTCATTCCATTAAAAGCTTTCATCCCTGACTACTTCAAGCACAGCTGGCATTCCTATACACAAATCCTAGACTGAGAATTGGACTTAAGATGCTCCAATATTTTTAAAAGTACTTGTAGATTTTATGATTCAACATCTACATTTTCAATTTTTATTTCATCTTCAAACCAGAAATAAGTGCTTTCTAAATCATAAACTCACAACTGAGATAAAGACTCTTAGCTGCTGCAATGTTAATAGCTTATAGTATTTACAGTTGAGTTGAGTTAGGTTAGCTAACTCATTTGAAATCACTGTCACATGTGAGTTTCTCATACTCAGTATGAGACCATAGCTGAGTTATCAAGGAAGCTGAAGAGCAATATATGAATAGACAAATTTGAAGCACTGTTTTATCCTCATCATTTCCCATTTCCATAATTAAAATAACTTGAAGGGCAATTCTTTGACTGATCACTCACTGCTCAAGACTGAGTAAAGCTTTGTGGTAGTTACATCTTATGTGATATCTATGAGAACTGTATGCAAAAAGGAAGATAACATTGCATTATAATTAGCTCATCTGCTAAAATCACTAGATTTTTAAACATTTCTTTGAAAGGAACAGTAAGAAAGGCAGAATGACCTCCCTTTGTGAAACCATGTGGCAGGTAAGCATGATAATATATCTCAACACAAAATTCATTAACATACAAATTATAGATTTAATCCAAGGCTTCAACAAACATCTGAGGGAAAACACTTCTCAAATGCACCTGTGCAACCTGAAACACCTTAGTGTGAGAAAAGTTCGGGTCTGACTGTTCAGGAATTCTGATTAAGTAGAAGCTTTGAAATAAAGATGAAACTGGTAGTTGGTGATAAGATTAATGCTTTTTTTTTTTTCTTGGGTTTCATAAAATCACTACCTGACAGGCATAGGTTTCCCAGAAACTCACTTTTATTGTGTATCATAGCACTTTTATTTTTTTAAGTGCTCATACAGACTGTCAAAAGCAGAGCATAAAAGAACAGAGTAAGACCACAGTTCAAAAACAATATTACGAACTTTATTTGTATATCTTTATAGTTTTCAACTCTTTCCTTCATAAAACTAGCAAGCATCAACTATTAGAGCAGAATTTTTCCAAGCCACTACTTGCTACCAGATTTCTGCATATTTCAGCTAACTTAATGAAACCATTCCTGGTAGTAAAATTAGGAGAAAATTCAATAAATTATTATTTTCTCTAGATGGAGAAGATGAAACAATAGTATCAAACTATTAACAGTACCACTAGATATCAAAGCCATCCTCTCTTGTCATATTCACCAAGATGAGAGTGTGGATTTGCTTACATTGATAATTTCATTATGACTACAGCCTATTCACCAAACACCTATTCACAGTTGAACACTTATTTCCAAGCAAAGTTCACACATCTCATGTCCAAAGCAGATGTACCCCTCTGTTCTGTGACACAGCATCTCAAGGTGCTTTTCAGGTTGCTTGTTCCTGCACAGGTGGTAGGGCATGTGCCACTTCTAGGTGAAACCAGAGCAACAGTTTGTGAGTCATTACGTGAACTAGATGATTGAGCTGACTTGCATTAGAAAGAAAGCAAGCATGCGCAAAAAGATCAGATCTGTTGACTGACTTAGCACACAGCACGGTCCCCCAACCAGCTGTAGACATACCAGGCAGATGTGAGCTGCAGTGCCGGAGTAACCAAAGGCCAGGCATAGACATGACAAAGATGCCTTAGCTTGATATTACCACTGAAATCCTGTGTATTGGAGTTGGAGTCTGTGGAAGTTGTTATCTAAACTCAGACTTGGGATAAAAACAGTGCCAGGCAGAGCGCTTAAAGAATGGTATTAATTCAACCATGTTGTATAGTCACATATTTTGCATAATTTATATATCAGCATCATTTCATTTTCTTTCAATGTTTTAACAGTCAGCTTGAGCCAAAATACTGCTGGATAAACACCTCTACTCACAAGGAACACCTCAAGTGAAAACAAACAGGGTCTGCTACAGCAGAACGCTGGACAACATAACGGAGAATTTTAGTTTAAACTGCTTCTTCCTTACAGTTCCTCAATCTAAGTGTCACTCAGAGCACACACGAAAAGGCACCTGTGACCTGAATTGCAACAGAGCTGATTTCTCTCAGCTGAGTTGGCAAGTATTATTCAAATACAAAATTTTAAATATTGTAAAGAATAGCTTGTAGTTACCCAGCAGAACCTAATTTAACTGTCTGAGTTTTACTCTCAATACTTTAGTACTGCATATATACAGCATAAACAATCTTTCATTCAATCTTTGCTAAAATGAATTAAGTAACAGAAACAGAAGTTGTAAAAAGGAAGCTAATTGTTCTATACTCAATATAGACTGCAGTAAGCTGTATATAATGCATAGAACAATACGATACTGAAAAGGCTTACTCTTCATCCAACCATAAAATATTCAGACTTAAATTATGATGTATATCACTAAATCTATTTCTCTGCAATTCCAATCAACCACATAATCTTTTCCCCAAAAGCTCAAAGTTTGATTTAAGCTTATTGGATTGCTTGCCCAGAATATGAGAAGCCGTAGTCTCACCATCTCCAGAATTCATAGGCCACTCTACCAGAAAACTTCTAGTGTTCAGTCTGAATTTGCACAGGGGCAGATGATACCTGTTCTCATGGTAATATTTTCAGATTGAAAGAAATATCATAGAGAAGAAGTCTCCTGCAAATCAAAAACTACAACTCATTTCCAGCACTATGATAATCAACCTCATCTAGTACACCTGTCTCCTCTGGGGCTGTACCTGGGACTTACAAGCACTGTGATCAACCACCCACTGCAGCTGTCTCCTCCACAGCTGTTTACAGTCAGCATGCTAACAACAGAAACTCTCTGAATTAGCGCTGGATGGTATTTACACTATACACTATTCAATTTTTCCTTTATATCCCTTATTCCAGTCCTTACAGTCATCCAGTTCTTCCTGAATCTTACAGTCTTCTTCTCTATTAAAAATAGATGCATGTTTTGCTATTGGCAAATTCGATCACCATGTATTTTTATCTCCAGACTAGTCTTTTTAATGAAGTTACTGAACAGAGTTTGTTTGAAGACATACCTCCTGAAGAGTTCCACCAGATATTGCTAGTAACAAAGCTCTTTCAGTGCTACTTGTAATCTTTCTCCCAGCTACCTTCCTCCCTCACATTACAGTTCCCTTACTGATTAAGAGCATTGATTATCAGGTACAGAATGCATGGGTTTTTTTGGCAAGAGTCTTTCAGAAATAACATGCTCTTATTTAGGTAAAGACTGTCTAATAATGCATGCTTACCTAGAGACTGTCGTGAGGGCTTATATAAACTTAGGGATTATTTTGCAGTTTTAGTCTTCCTTAAACACTTTTTTTTTGTTCCAGGACACAGTATAAAATTAAACAGCAGTGTAAAAACACAGTTTAGATCTGACTGCACCACTTGCTTTCGACTTTCAGAGGAAAGAAAGTAGTTAATGCAGGGACAAATACTTAGTGACATACATAAAAGAAAAACTGTATAGTTCTAAGGTGAAGATATGAAGTATATATCAAAATCCATGTGCGCATAAAGAGTACTACTTTTGCACTGATCCTCAAAAAAAAGCTAACAGAAGCTAGAAATGAAGATAAAAACCAGTTACAGACAAGCAACAAGGCTAACAGAGTGTGCCAGCAAGGGAAAAAGAGTCATGGAAAAATCACACAAGAAAAGTTTTTTGTATGACACACATATGGCAAAAAGGAAAAAAAATAAGTCAAATTTATCAATGAAGGACTTTATAGAACATAACTCAAAATATATTTGAAGGCTTAAATAGCTTGGTTTTTTTTTTTTTTTTTTTTTTTTTGCATAAGTAACTAATAGCAGAAGCATTTATTAAATTAAAAAAAAAAAAAAAAAACAAAACTTGCAGATTTATTCCTTAAGCACTCAAAGACTACTTCTAGCAAATAGTTCATACACCAGGGTGATCACACACCCTCATACAATTAACAAATGTACAATTAGAAAAGTGGTGTGGTTAGGACAGCTTTTCACAACAATCAAAACCAAAACACTCACCCACATCCTCAGCTCACAGCAGAAATCTCCAAAAGGAGGGATCTCCAGAAAGTGATCCTTCCCCCATGGCAGTCAGCACTTAAATGCAGTCTAGGAGAGGTGCAGCCAGGCTCCATCCCCGCAGGTCAAAAATGTGAATAGCCTTCACCTGTGCTCCCATAGGTGACTCAGTCCTTGCTTCAGGTGATCAATCAGTGGTTCAGACCATAACTCAACAGTTCCAATACAACCCTAAAAACCAGGATGCTATTGAAATTCTAATTACATGTGCACAAGCCATTTTAACAGATGCAGTAAGTTTAATAATGAATGTTTAACGAACTGCAGAATCAGCACTACAAGCTAGGTTTTATAAATGTGCAGAACTAGGTAAATTAATTTTGTTCTTAAATGTTCTAATAAGAAAGGTAAAACTTGGTGTCTTTTAAGTCAGAGTAAGCGATATTTTCTATTTTGTTATTTCTCATATTTATCAACCGGAGTTTTTTTTTGTGCAACAAGCTCATTTTTCCCTGATGTGAGGCTTTATTCTGAAAACATATCTACTTTATCCTGCCCAGAACCTTAAAAAACGTTCCCTATTCCACATAAAACTGTGTAGGTACAAATGACATATTTAAGTTATGGAAAATATCCATGCAATATATTTAAACACCTTTCTTGATATCAGTTTCTCAGTTCCTCAGTTCAGATTTTTAATATAAAGACATATTAACCATTCCAGTAAAAAAAATTCTGTAGTTTCTGCACACAATCTGCACAATGTGCTGCTTCATAGTTCATCACGAAGCACTTAAAAAACAACAACAAACAAACAAGTGGGATCAGAATTATATCCCAAAGTTCTTTCCACATAAAGGACCTGATAAGATTTCGTGACAGTACCGTTGCATACATTAGCAGGATAAATTCCAACTACTTGGGATTTTTTTCCTAAGCTGCAATCTGACTGTAAAACAAACTATTATGAAGTCTACAGAACACATTATAGAGATTAGAGATGTTTGCTTAAGCAAAAAGTGAAAACTTCCTTTTTTTTTTCACTTAACAACATGCTTGAAGTATTGAATGTTTTATATACAAACAAGATTTGAGGTTGAAAGACCGTTGATGAATTCCTCAATGACCGTTTTCAAATTCATGGCATATACAACGTGTTTGTTTTTCTATGCTATTCCAGCCTGTATGCTTCAGCATAAATGTAGTCAACACTTTTGTTTCACGCCAATTTGCAGAGGATGAATTAATGCCATCTCAAGGATTTTTTTTTCTCCTAAGTATTCAGCTGCTAATTGATGCTCAGTGTTCTAGGCATGTCTTCTTGTAAAAGTTTTTCTTAAAATTCCTTTTGTGAATCAAAAACAAATTCTGGTTAATTACTAACTAGAAAAATTAATCAGATGTTTCTGAGTATTGGAAATTCCTAGAATTTGTATGAAAGCAAAACAGGCCTTTGTAAACACATTGTACACAAGAAGAACCACAGAATTACAGATCTACAACTGTAGGGTTTGGAAGGGACCTCTGGAGATCATTTAGTTCAACCCCCCTGCTAAAGCAGGTTCCCTACAGCAAGTTACACAGGAAAGTATCCAGGTGGATTTTTATTATCTCCACAGAAGGAGACTCCACCACCTCTCTGGGCAGCTTGTTGCAGTACTCTGTCATCCTCTGTAAAAAAGTTTTTCTCATGTTCAGATGGAACTTCCACTGCTCACTTCCTGAGGATGTTGAATGAGACTAGACTAAATATCAATGCCTGGGGAATATAGTACAGGCCACCAACTAGACTGTGCTGCTGATCATAAATCTCTGAGCTTTGTCCAAGTTCTCAGTTCACCTCATTGTCCACTCACCAATTCCACACCTCGTAAGTTTACCCACAAGGTTGTTATGGGAGACAGTGTCAAAAGGATTGCTGAAGTCAAGATAGCCAAAATCCACTGCTGTCCCCTCATGTACCCAGCCAGTTGTGACATCATGGAAGGTTACCAGACTGGCAAAGCACAATTTTTCCTTGCTGAAACCATGTTCCCCATTCCTGATAAACTTTTATTCATCGACTTGCTTGAAGATTATATCCAGAATAAGCTGCTCCATTGTCTTCCAAGGGACAGAGGTGAGGCTGACTGGCTTGTGGCTTCCCAGTTTCTCCTTCTTGCTCTTTTTGAAGACTGGAGTTACTCTACTCCAGTTCTCAGGCATCTCTCCCATTCCCACAACCTTTCAAAGATGATAGAGAACTGCTTGGCAATCATTTCTGCCAGCTCTCTCAGCACTCATAGGTGCTTCCCAATGAGCTCTGTGGATCTATATGCACTGAATTTGCCTCAATTATCTCTGATCAAATCCTATTTGACCAAGGGGAAGAATTCCTTATCCCAAACTCTTATGTCCAGGGCCTGGGGTTCTCAAGGGACAGTCTTAGTAACAAAGAGTGAAGCAAAGGAGGGCATCTAGTGACTCTGCCTTCTCATAAGGAGATCTAAAAGTATTGGAGGAAAGAGGTGGCTTTCCCAGTATAAATCTTGTTACTGATTTATTACAAACTGAGAATGGTAGACCTCCAGTATGAACTAAGATCAGGTTTCATTGACTGTTTCTTTAAATTTGCACAATTTGGGGTACCGTTGTTGCATTAATTTGGAGCATAATTTTCATAGAAAATGAAACTGTCTCAGACTTAAGGATGATTTTTAAACAATTTAGGACCCTTATTTTAGAGCTGCTAAACCTGAGGCACAAATGCAGTATTTTAGTTTGAACCGAAAGGAAAGTAAAGGTAAACAGCATCAAAGAGATCAGTGTGGTTGAAAATGTGTCACCCTCTCTCATGTAACTGAATCTAAGGCGTGGTGTAGGCTTACTCTCTTATCACAGAACCCATCCCTCAGGCTGTTTACAGTAAGGTGCAGAGCAGGCCAGGCACTTGTAACTCTTTTTAGCTCACTTCAAGACCTCTGCTACAGTTATCAGCACCTTGCATCATTAGTAACATCAAAACTAGCCAGAGTTTCTTGGTGTAGCATTGATTCTCAATTCAGAAACTGGAGAAATGATAAGCAGAACCATTACTAACTCATGATTTCTGTGCTTTTCTAAGAAGCCAAAGAAATGCCTTCTTAAGAATCCTATCCTATTCTACCCAATTCTATTCTTCAGAGTAGAAAAAACTACTCTGGATTCACCTTCCATATTTATCTATTTATTTGCTTCCTTTAGCTTAATTATTTATTTATCTGCTTTAAATGATCCAGGGGAAAAAAAACATCCAAGTTTAGAATTGTCAGCAAAATCAATAATAAATTTCCTTTGATCTGTATGCTGATTTCAAAAAGTTACCTGCCTACACCTCTCTTCTTTGATGTACTTGATGTACTTTTTGTTACTGAAAACCTCAGATATTGTTTCTGTTCTGGCTATTTGTATGATTATTAATTAGAGAAATGCAGCCTATGTGTTTCTAGTCATCTGCAGATTCTTTTGTGAGCAGTAACATGCTAAGCACTCCAAAGACATGGAGAAAGCACTTGCTCCTGCCTGACCAAACTTTGTTTAAGCAGGCAAAAGGAGAAATGGGAGAGAATTTAACTAGAATTACACAACTAATGGCAAACAATGGAATCCACATTAACTGCATTTAAATCCAACAGGCAGTGGATTGTACTGCTTTTTGCCTGTACAGGAGAAATGAAGAACTCAATCTATTCACTAACTAGAATGTATGTGGTACATTGTACTGGAATACAGGTTTGAGTTCCCTATTTTTGCCTTCTGTTTTCAGCCTGGTTTCCTAAGGAAATGAAACTTGTGCAATCACAGTGTTTGTGTATGCGTACATGCACAAGAGTTCAAGTAGTATCTTTTCAACCTGTTGGCAAATTGTAACAAGGTTTGACACATCTCGAAGATAATGTAATTCCTACAGGCCCTGTAAAATACTGAAACAGTTGCGTATGTCAGACTGTAGCTAGGGTGCAAATATCATCAGATTCTTGAAATTTTTTGTGGTAGAAATCATGCTACTTTTGTTTTGATGTTAACAGAACAACATAGATCCCTTCAGTTAAGTTTTCACGTTTTTCTCTGTGTTAGGAATTCTGTTAATTAAAAAGACAAACAAGAACTACTTGTCCTTTCCAGATGCTACATTTAAAGAAAGGAAGAAGAAAGATGAAGCTTTGTTCATGATTTTGATTATTTATGCTAATGATGTCAGTTGTTATATTTAGACAAAGTTTGGGAGTTTTAATTATGAAAATATCAGTGTAAGCAAGGCCTCATTAAAGCCTAGGGAGAGGAAAGACTCAAGCTCTAATGTTAGAATATACAGCTTGAGCATCTGGATCATACTGGGACTTATTTTGCTGCCTACTTGGTTTGCTCCACTTCCTAGCTGGTGAAATGCTTTGCCAAGAGTATGTGAAGGAAGCTGGAGAAATAGTACACTTACTTAATTTGAGTCCTACTGAGCAGATCAGAAGGTTCTCTTCCCTTTTTTTAAAAAACAAGTACTTCAGGGAAATTTAGCTTTCCACCCTCACTAACTTGAGCAGCCTTCAAAGGATGCAATTTTTATTGTGTCATACACATTCACTCAGCACATGCATAAAATTGAAGTGAAGACCTTTTTATATGGGAAAAGCTGAAGAATGTTTTTATTCCAGTTGCTATAGTAATTAATAGAGATAACGATTGCACAATCACTGCAATTATGCATTTAAAGAGGGTGATACTTTCAAACAATAATAATACAACTGCAATGCAAGGAAGTGCAGTAATCAAGGAAAGGTGGGAGCATAGGTCAATAGCATGCTTATGACTAATCTGTTGGATTCTGATGAAATGTGATAGAGGGAGGTTGATTTTTGGTTAAGACTTTTGACATCTAAATTCCATATTTTGCTTTTCCACAGCTTTTTTTTTTTTGTGACCTTGAGTGTCTCACAGCTCGGATCCACAAAAAAATAGCATTAACTAGATATTATAAGCAATAGCATGCAAGTTAAGGTGCTTGGTCACAGTTTATAAATATATATATATGTATAATTATTTATATATATAAGTAATTTTAAATCACTCAGATTTACAACAGGCTGCATTCTGAGCTGGGAGCAGTTTAATGTAGGTAAATAATTCCTAGTGAGAGATTCTATCTTGACTTACAACACATGAAGTACATCAGTAGTTGTTGTTGAAAGAAAGCAGTTCTTTTCCTTTAGGTTCTGGAT